TTCTCAACATAGATGACGCCAAATGTTACAAATGCGGTAAATCAGGTCACACGTCCAACCTATGCAACGAAACCTTCCCAGAATTACCAAACACTCAAGGAAAAAATCCAAAACGTCCTTTTATCACCTCCTCTAGTGAAAACACTCCAGAGGCAACCGAAGCAGCAATTGAAACCACCCAAATCTTTAGAGTACCTACCTTAGCTCCAAGGGAAACAATCGACATAGACAACCAGATCCCAATAACCAGAAGCAGCGTCCCCCCAACCACACTGCCCCAAAAAAGAAATCCCAAAAAACAAAAAAAAACATCAACCTCAGAAGCCCCAAGCTTAGATGAAGCACTACACCCAGTAAAGAATGCACTTTCAGAAAACCCAAACAACTACCCCTTCTTATTTGACCAATTTCAAAATTTTTACTTGGAGATTAGTAAATCCCCAAAACCATTAGAAATAGCACGAAGCTTTATGGAAAACACGGGCCAACTAATAACTACACTTCAAGACTTGCACTCTATTTTAAATGATCGCCAGACTAAATACAGATTTACAAGAATAATCTCCAACATAAAGAAAGCAAGACAAAAAGAAAACTACCCAAACGAATCTCCTTCCTCCCAACAAGGATCTTCAGACGAATATTTCTAGCAATCTTAAAACAATACAAAATCAGCTTCCAAGGAAAATTGTACAATGAAAATAATACAGTTTAATTGCAACGGCTTCAGTAAGCGACTCGACCATATACGATTATTAATACAGCACCAACAACCAGAAATAATATGCCTACAAGAAACACACTTAAAAGAAAACCAATCACTGCCACTTAAAAACTTCGAAATATACAATAAAACACGAAACACCAACCACGCTAGTGGAGGAGTTAGCATTGCAATTATAAACTCTATATTCTCGCAACTAATACCCATCAACAGTAACCTGGAAATCATTGCAGTGCAAATCCACACACATAGAAAAGTCAGCTTATGTAATATTTATATCCCCCCAAATCACAAACTGGAATATCAAGAACTCCAAGACGTGATCAACCAACTTCCATCGCCTTATCTAATCCTAGGAGATTTTAATTCCCACAACCAGCTATGGGGCAGCGAACACACTAACCATAAAGGGAAAATAGTAGAAAAAATAATCGATACAAACCAGTTAATCTTGTTAAACAATGGAAAGCCAACTTATCTCTGTCCCCGGACAAATAACTTCTCAGCTATAGATATCACGCTCAGTCACCCCAGAATAGCAACTGACATCGATTGGACGCCTCTTGACAGTCTTTACGACAGCGACCACATACCCATCCTAATCACCACAAATCAGCAGCACAAATATACCCCAGCCAAACCAAGAAGAAACATAAAAAACGCACAATGGAACAAATTCACCGAGTATGTCTCGCAACAGACCAATACGACACTACAAACCATTGAAACTCAAAACATACAAAATAGTTACAAAACCATAGTAGAAGTCATCACAGCCGCGTCTGAAATAGCAATCCCCATAAAAAGTTACCCAAGGAACCGCAACAAAGTACCATGGTGGAATGAGAAGCGCAGAGCAATAATAAAGATGAAGAACTCGGCGTTTAACAAATATCGAAAATACAAAACCATAGAACATCTAATACAATACAAAAAACTCAGAGCGCAAGCACGAAGAACCATTAAAGAAAGTAAACAAAAATCCTGGGAAGACTTTGTAACATCAATTAACACAAACACCAGCAACAAAGAAATGTGGGAAAAGATCAAAAGCATTAAAGCTATCCACAAACCATTTAACATCCCCGGATTAATAACACCTGACAGCACCATCACAACAACGACTAAAATAGTCGAGACCTTAGCAAAAAATTTCGAACATATTTACAATACACAAACCTACACAGACTCATTCCTGAGACACAAACAACAACTTGAAGACACCCCCATACCCACTGAACTCGATGATGACGAAAGTTATAATAAAACCTTCACATCGCTGGAACTTGAAATAGCACTGAATAATTGCAGAGACACAGCTCCCGGACCCGACGGAATACATTACAAAATGCTTCAGAATCTGCCACCACCATTCAAAACCACTATTCTATATCTTTACAACCGAATATGGACGGAAGGCAACATCCCCGCGTCATGGCGCACTGCTACAATAGTCCCAATCTTGAAAACAAATAAAGAAAAAGCCGACCCAAACAACTACAGACCAATATCACTCACAAATACTCTATGCAAAATCCTGGAACGAATGGTAAACTACCGCTTAAACTGGATCCTAGAACAACAGAACCTCCTCACACCAATACAAAGTGGATTCAGACGCCAGCATTCAACTATTGACCACATAGCTAAACTCGAAATGGAAGTTAAAAATGCGTTTACAAATAAAGAATCCTTAATAGCAATACTCTTAGATATTAGTAAAGCCTACGACTCGACCTGGACAAGAAGAGTGATTAATATATTGATGAACTGGGGATTCAAAGGGAGACTTATAACATTCATAAAAAACCTAATCACCGACCGAAAATTCCATGTTGAAATTGGTATCAAATACGTACTCCCAAACAAATGGCCTTCCTCAAGGTTCATTACTCAGCGTTACCTTATTCCTGATCGCAATAAACGATATCGGTGACCACGTCCACTATCCAGTGCAAGCAATGCTATACGCCGACGACTTAATAATCTTGACAAGAAACGACGACATAGAAGCTATCCGTCAAAATCTCCAAAAAACCTTACAAGACCTGGACAGCTGGAGCACAAGCACAGGATTCAATTTTGCCGCCCACAAAACCAAATGCATCCACTTTACACGAAAACATAGACAAGACAACCCGCCCCTTACACTGAACAACATACAGCTGGAATACAAGAGCCAAATAAAATACCTTGGAGTCATATTTGACAGTGCTAACTGACTGAAAAGACCACTAGACATAATAAAAACAGTCTCACATACAAGGTGGGGGTAGGCAACAAAGAATCGCTCTACGAATAATTTGACACCTTTAGTACAGTCAAAATAGACTAGGCGGTTTTATACAGTAAGCCGTAATAACAGTTTTAAACAAACTGGTAGAAATCAGTGTATAACCAAGCCTACGATTAGTTACCGGCGCGTTTCATCAAGCCGCAGTAATTAGTATCTAGCAGCGAAAACCCGGGAAACACCGCTCTAAATACAGATAACACAGAAGTTATTAAAATACCGCATTAACTTATAGCGAACAAGAAACACGCGAACAATAATACCTTGTCTACCCCCCTTTCAATACTACACAACAAAACAACAAAAATTATTCGCCCTTACAACATCCGAGCCACAACTCTCCTCACAAAACTAAACTTTGGCAACGTGAATTTCTACAACCTACAAAAATAAACGGCCCCCATGGACCCTCCCAACATCAAAGTCGATTAAGCCTGACCAACCAAAAAAACAAACACCTCACCGTTAGAGTACCACAGCCTCATAACGAACTAATTGCAAAATACCAGCGATTACATAAAATATACACAGACGGTCTAAAAAGTAGTGAGTCTGTGGCAGTGCGATTGCGAAAAACTTAAATACAATGTACAAGCTCAATGACGGAACGTCCTATCTTTACCGCGGAACTATACGCTATCCTACAAGCGACCAAGCTCATACTAAGAAGAGATCAACAGAAGAAAAGTGGATTCTTCATAACGATTCCTATCCGCACTCACGCAATCAGCACTCTATTGCACGACCTTGTGGTAAAGAAATACCACACGACCTAACACACCTTAAGCCCGAAAAAACAAAATGATCGTCTTTCGCATGGACCCATCTCATAGAGGTATCATCAGGAAACGAAGAAGCCGACAACTAGCCAAACATGCATCACATTGACAGCAACAATTCGAAAACCTATCACAAAAGAAGACCACAAAAATACACAAATAAACCGTAAGGAAGAGAAGGGAAAGAGAATGGTCCTCAATGTGAAAACTACTGAGGTTCCATAAAATCGGCGACACCCAGAAATGGAAAACCAAAAAGTCATTCACCAGGAAAGAAGAAGTAATTATAACACGACTCAGGATTGGGCACACGCATCTCACCCATGGGTACCTTATGGAAAAAAACCCTCAACCCCCTCCCCGATGCGAAAACTGCAACAGAGGGCTAACAGTGAAACACCTTCTGATCGAGTGCCCAGAATACACCAACCAAAGAACCATGAGCGGCCTAGCACAAAAAAATCTTCAATGTATCCTGAACAAACACTCCGAACTACCAAATGTTATCAAATATCTTAAGGCAATTAACAAACTTGATCTTATCTAATGTAACTACATACATATGTAACAGTGCCAATGACCTCAGCAGTTGAGGCACTCAAATTTCATAAAAAAAAAAAAAAAGAATCACAGTCATGGATTTAAAATATGAAATAGAACATCAATCACTAGAATCCAGGGACCAAGGATTAACATCAGGAAGTCACAATAACAAAGCATTATTAAGAACTTGAAAGTCAAAAAACGAGAATTGCTCACATATACTCGAGATTGGGGTTTCATAATTCCAAGATCAGAGTTTGAAATAAGAATTCGAGAAGCCAAGTTCCAGGATTTTCAGGTCGCTTCTCAAATCGATCATTCTGGAGCAGTGGTCCGAGACACTGGATATGAAAGCATAATTTCAAGGTGCGCAGTACGATATACCAAATTTGAGGTTCGACCTTAAGACCACCAGACTTCATATTCAAAATTTCAGCTTTGTCCGCACTTCTTTGGATTTTTGCATCGGAGAAATTTAAAGCCTAAACTACAGATTCAAGCAACTCTGGGAGATGGCCCACTGACAACAGATAAAGCGTGCCGTTTAAGTTAATAAACTGATAAAGTGCTTTTACTTTGAGTCATGGATTAGGACAGAAACTCCCTACGAGCAAAAAGGGCAAAAACTAAATAAAGCAAAGTAGTACGTTTCGCTACTTACCAATGAGTAGTACAAAACCAGCACTTCCGCAAGGTGCTTCACAATGTGGAATGATTGAATGCGCCATGCTATCTAAATCAGACACCACTACTGATAAAAGAGACTTCCTGTGTGCAAACATTACCGTTTTACGTTAAACTAGGTTACATTGATGTGACTCCCGTTTCCCATTCAGTGTTCCGCTAAAAACCCCACAAATTGCTAGGGAGTTTTCTTTTTCGAATTAAAAAAAATCGGGTGAATGCGAGTAGTAGTCGAAAATGTGCAGAAATATAAAATCTTGGTTCTGAGATCTGAGTGAATTCCAAACTTCAGAAATCACCGCCACTTTAAACAATATACAAAGAGGTGATTATCAATGCATTTTCCAACTACATCGCTACCACTTTTCCTCATTGTGTAACGTACATCTTCAGTTTTCAAAGTGTATAACTCCTATAATT